TGCTGAACTCTAGAAGAGCTAGTGAAATAAGCTCTTTAAATCATACTGCTTATTCTCAGATTCGAAAAAAAATTCAGTAAGACATTTATGAAAAACAAAACTCTGGATGATCATTAATATTTTGACAATATTTTTTCTAGGTAAGGCAAAGGAGATTCCCTTTTAAAATGCAGAACTTACTTGTTGAATCAAAGACCAATACTATCTCAAATGTCCAGGTTCTATTTCTCCCTCCCTTCACAGCACATTATTCCTCTTATCAAAACTAAACTCAGTTTCATTTGAATGCCTTATTGCTGTGGTTTCAAAATTTGGAAAGCTCTTGGGATTAGATTTTGAGAACGGTAAATGTTGAGCGATAAACTCACACCTGATTCAACACCAACAAAAAGATCTTAGGTTTCCCTGGGCCTGTGGTTTGCTGGTTCCCAGTCTGAAATGCCCCAACACAGGTTGGTGGAGCTCAGGGGCTAGGACCATTAGTATTCGTGATTATGCCTTGTTTCTGGAAAGACATGATTCTGCAAAGTCCACCTAATGAAAACCAGCTACTGAACAATGGGTATCACATCAAAAGGAATGCCTTTCTTCTACCTAATATTGAAAAGGTTTATTATAGTCAGGGAGGATTGATGTGGTGGGTCCACAGGTGTCAGGGCTCGAGAATTCTTTTTTTTTTTAATAAAGTATTTTATTTTTTTAACCTCTTTATTGGAGTATAATTGCTTTACAATGGAGTGTTAGTTTCTGCTTTATAACAAAGTGAATCAGCTGTACATACACATATATCCCCATATCCCCTCCCTCTTGCATCTCCCTCCCACCCTCCCTATCCCTCCCCTCTAGGTGGTCACAAAGCACCGAGCTGATCTCCCTGTGCTATGCAGCTGCTTCCCACTAGCTATCTATTTTACATTTGGTAGTATATATAAGTCCATGCCACTCTCCAATTCGTCCCAGCTTACCCTTCCCCCTCCCCGTGTCCTCAAGTCCGTTCTCTACGCCTGCGTCTTTATTCTTGTCCTGCCCCTAGGTTCCTCAGAACCTTTTTTTTTTTCTTTTTTTTTAGATCCCATATATGTGTTAGCATATGGTATTTGTTTTTCTTTCTGACTTACTTCACTCTGTATGACGGTCTCTAGGTCCATCCACCTCAGTACAAATAACTCAATTTCGTTTCTTTCTATGGCTGAATAATATTCCATTGCATATACGTGCAACATCTTCTTTATCCATTATCCATTCATCTGTCGATGGACACTTAGGTGGCTTCCATGTCAGGGCTCGAGAATTCTAAAGTATGTTAAGAGGCAGGAGGAAGCTCCTGGCCTTCGGGTTTGCTCCTCCAACACTCCACATCAGGTGGGAAGGGTATGTTGCAGTCCCTTTCCCGCCCTGGGAGAGGATAGGAGGAGCTGGCGGACCTTGCCGCCCCAGGCCCCGCCCACAGATGCTCTGGGTCCAGCAGCCTCCTGGACAGTGGAGGCTGGGGGCGGAGCTCACCCTTGCCCTCGGGGTCCCCCGCGCTCCGCCAATCATGGAGCGCCCTGTTGGCCGGCGGCAGTGCCCGCCCCCTCCTCCTTCCGCCGGCCTCCCGTTTCCCAGAATCCAAGATGGCGGGATCCAGGCAAAGGGGTTCCCGGGCTGGAGCTCGGCCGCTGTTCTGCGCTTTGCTGCTGTCGCTCTGTCGTTTCGTCGGGGGCGACGGCGTGGGAGGCCACCCGGCAGCTGCCGGCGCCACGGGCACCCCAGGCGCGCAGCCACATCGGCGTTTCGAGTACAAATACAGCTTCAAGGGACCGCACCTGGTGCAGAGCGACGGGACCGTGCCCTTCTGGGCCCACGCGGGGAGTAAGCCAGGGCAGAGGTCGGGGGGCCCGGGTCCCCTCCCCGCCTTGAGCCTCCTCCTCTTCACCTTCTCCCCGCTGCACCCCGTATGCGCGGTGGAGGGGGCCTTTCTCAGCAGCCTCGCCTGCACGCCGGCTCTGGTCCGCAAGGTTCCCTCCGCCAGCCCCCCAGTCTTTCCCACATTCTCTCCACCCGACCTTCCTCCTGCCTTTGATGTTGTCTGTTCTTTCCGTTTGGGCTAGAGGTTTTTCGTTAGTTCCCGCACTTCCAAGTACTAACTTGAGCTCGCTTCTGGGCATCACGTCTCACCCCAACGCCACGTCTCCTCCGAACCTGAGACCTGGTCTGGCAGCCCTCCACCTTCTTTCCCGCACCCCCTCGGCCCTCCCCTGCGTTCTCTCCTCCGGTGTTAGCAGTGGGTAATGCTCCAGTTTGTACCCGATGCCCCCTGACGGCTTTAGAGGTGGCATGTGTTGGCTTTAGAATAGTCTTTAAGTCTTTATGTCAGAGGACATTCTTCTCACCCTCTTGGAACTGTACGTTAAGTTTGCCTTTCTCAGGGGCTTGGTGTGGTCTTTGATCTTTTCTCTTGTGTTAACACAGTAGGTAATTTAATAGTCACACTCGTTGCTTTATTTAGTAGAAGAAGGGAGGGGGGTTATTGATTGAGAACTTGAGGCGAAGAATAGCATTATATATACGGCTGTTTTGTTTTTGGTTTTTTGTAGGGGGGATTGAAATAACCTGTGCTCCATGTAATTGATTTTATGTGTTTGGCACTATTAAGCACTGTTAGGGGGTAAGAGAGCCTTGCTAGGTATTTACGTATGCGAAAGAAAACATATCTACTTTAGTGCTGATGTGTCACCTCTGACTAAGGAATCAGCCGTAGCACTTGGCATGCTGTAAACTCTGTTCAGTGACCATCAGATGCAACCTTTGAAACAAGTGGCAAATGCCTTTATCTGGGGTTAGAAGCACTGGCAGTTTGAATTCCATCTTTATGTGTTATTAAGCAATCATTTATGTAAGGTTTGTATACATCGTTTTAGATTGTCGAGTGCTTGAAACAAAATGTTCGTTTCTAGAAAGTAGTTGCTGAATAGGAAGCACACTTTTAGGAAGTGCTATTTCACTGAAATTAATGTATAATTAAAAGGCATAAATTTCAATTTGACTTAATGACCAAAGTCATTAAATATTTGAAGTCGAGTGCATTTTGTTACTCAGCAGACATTTATTATATGCCCGCTCATCAAGGGTATGTAGCTGGGCAACTGTTATCAAGGTAGCATTGTTTTAATACACAAAGACGATGCAGGTGTACCAAACACAGGTTTGGGGGATTTTTGTTTCTTTTCTTGGCATGATGATGAATTTTTCAGTAGTGGTGGTAAATGTGTTGACCTTTTTTCGCTTCTGCCATTCTCCATTGCCGGCATGCTCTTCTTTTTCTCACGCTCACACCACATACATCAGCCAATTAGGAATGTTAATCAGCTACTTAAATTAGTCACATTGACTTTCTTTTCAGAACCTATAACCAACTAAGCTTTTCTGCTGCAGAAATGTCAGATAATGTACCTGGGTGAATGAAAGTTGTATGACTAGACTGAATTTGAAATAAAGAGATTAGAATTTTAGCTAGTGACTTTTCTGTCTGTTGACTCTGGGAATCACTGCTTATGGGTATCCCTTGCTTTCATTATCACTGTAATTTTTACAGTCTCACAGCTTTCTTAACTCCACTGATCATTTTTTCCCCTTTCATTTTGCCCTGAGATCCATTATTTAAAACAATTTTTTTAATAGAGAAATTTTTAAGATTTAGTTTAAACGTGTCCCCTTACTTCATCCCCAAATTAAGACCAAATCTATGGTGTTTCTTTTTCTTAACTCATGTTCTTTTGTATTGTCAGTACACATCCTTGGGGCCATAAGGGCAATAAATGATAACAGCAATTTGTAAGCCTTTATAGCTCTCAGAGCTCTTTCACCTTCTTCATGCTCTGATTAGATCCTTGGTAGGCAAGGCAGGTGTTATCTGTTTTATAGGTGAAAAAAACTGATGTTCAGAAAGGTTAAGGTTCTTGGAAAAGGTTACATAGATAGTGTCAGTAGAATAGTACTCAAATCCAGGTCTTCTGATTTCTATATCCAGTGCTTTTCCTGTGATGACTGCCCCAAACCTTTAAGTGTTTGAAAGTCATGGTGACAAATAGTGGCTGAACTTACTAAAATATCTCAGCTTGTCTTTTAGTCAATTTTTCCTACCTGTAAAGGAACAATACAGTTATGTCCCAGTGTGGACGTCAGAATGTCAGAACTGGTTAATATCTGAAAAGGTGTGCCAGAATTGTTCAAATTTAGACCTCATAGGTGCTTTAATAATTATCTAGTCCAATAATAGGAACAGCTAACATTTATTGAAATATTTATATGCACTTATATAAGCACTTATATGCTATGAGGTTGTTATAGAAATGGAGTAACTTGCCTACGATCAAACAGCTGGTAAGTGAATGGAGATGCAGGCCATCATTTTGGGGATCACTGTTCTCTCTGAGACTCTCCTGATGCTGAAGAACTGATTATTGACTTGAAATTCAGTTGATTGACCCTCTCCCTAGAAGAATGTATATATGCTCAAAATTTTGCATATAACTTTTAGGGTGTATATAAGTGATTGAGCCCAGCCCCTTCATTTTACAGGTGAACATATGGTGAGCCCGAGAGAGTAAGAGAATTATTTGCTCAAAGTCACACAGCTGAACTGAGACTAGGAATAAGTCTCTTGATTCCTAGTGGTAGGTTCTTTTCACACTGTTTGAGATTTCTAACATTTGTAAACTGGTAAAAAAAAAAAAAAATCGCAGTTTTAAAAAAGAAAATATGCAAATTTTTCAGGTATTTGAAAAAGAGTATCATGAGAATTAAATAGTTGATTTGCCTTTCAAGCTGTAGTTTCCTCCCTGCTGCCCCTTGAATTTTTACTGTTGGGTTGCAGCTTTAATTTTTTTTGCAGAGATATTGCACTCTTCCAAAGATAGGAGGAGGGTATCAAAACCCGCTAAAATTTAAAAGCTGAAACTGTCAACATGAAATTTTTTCCTAACAAAGTTACCATACGGGTAACTGAGTTAAACTTAGGTCTCAGTAGGTATATATAACAGTTTGGTGGTGATTCATTGAGTTTTATCTAATTATAACAAAACTTTTCTTCCCTGATTTCTATTCTAGATGCTATTCCAAGTTCAGATCAAATTCGAATAGCACCATCTTTAAAAAGCCAGAGAGGATCGGTGTGGACAAAGACAAAAGCAGCCTTTGAGAACTGGGAAGTTGAGGTGACATTTCGAGTGACTGGAAGAGGTCGGATTGGAGCTGATGGCCTGGTATGGTCATTTCTTTAACTTGGAAAATTTGTATAAATGCATATACCACTAGTCTCTAAAGGTCCTGTGTTATGTATTTACAGGCAATTTGGTATACAGAAAATCAAGGCTTGGAGGGTCCTGTGTTTGGATCAGCTGATATGTGGAATGGTGTTGGAATATTTTTTGATTCTTTTGACAATGATGGAAAGGTATATTTGTTTTCAGGACTGTTAGCCATTTTAATATATTTGCTGACAAAGTTAGGCTGTGAACAATATAGCTTATTTAACACTTTTGTCAGTTTAATAGTAGAGGACTCCCCAAACTGTATTTTAAGTGTTACGATTAGTCTTTACATAGCTGGGAATTTATAAATTTAAAGCTAGGAGTTCACGATTTGTCATCTACCAACTTGAGGTAACAGTGGAACCTCAGGTCTGAGAACTTTGCAGTACCCATCTCCCCATCACCCTGTTTATACTTAATACTTTTTTTTCTTTTTGCGGTACGCGGGCCTCTCACTGTTGTGGCCTCTCCCGTTGTGGAGCACAGGCTCCGGACGCGCAGGCTCAGCAGCCATGGCTCACGGGCCCAGCCGCTCCGCGGCGTGTGGGATCTTCCCGGACCGGGGCACGAACCCGTGTCCCCTGCATCGGCAGGCGGACTCTCAACCGCTGCGCCACCAGGGAAGCCCCTATGCTTAATAATTTTGATGGATCAGCATGAGTCATTTAGATGTAGGTGCTTAATGTTTAGAAGATTATTACTGTTTGTTTTCATGAAAATATGGGCATAACTACTGCTAGCTCACATGTTGATATGTTTTCATATATGTTAATCACACTTTTTGATCAGCCGATTTCTCTAAAACAGTTAAGACCAAAATGTATTTAACATTAACTTGTGCTTTAGCAGCCCTAAGACTGATGATCATTGTTTCAGTCAGTAGTTTGTCCGCTGACTATCCGAGGTCATGATTAGCAATTTAAAGGAGAGCTTTAACATTGAGCTCCTTGAATGCTGAGGCCATGTTAGTCCTCCTGTTACTGAGCTCCCAGAAGTCCCACACCAGTCCCATGCTCACAGTGTCCTAGGATTTTAGAGGTGTAAGAGAACTTATAGCACACCCAGAATGATCTATACTTCTTTGGTCTAAGGACTTTAAAACAAATACATTCTCTTTATTTATAGAAAAATAATCCTGCAATAGTGATTATAGGCAACAATGGACAAATTCAGTATGACCATCAAAAGTAAGTGTATATTTTTTACGTTATTCCTGATTTCAGCTTCTTTTTAGAAACCTTATAAAATATATTGTTTCAAATCTGAACATTTTCCAGATGAAGTAAGATTATTCTTTTCCTTGAGATGTTTTTTGTAACCTAGTGGAAAGGTCTTACCTTAATTTGGTTTTGTTTTAAAGTTCTTTCTGTGGACCACCTAGATTTCAAACATAAAAATGTGTTGTAGTTAACCTGAAATTAAATAGTACCTTTAAAGTTTGATAAAACATTCCTGGCTCTCAGTGATAACAATAGTCATGTTTTTTCATCTTTATTAAGAGGGATCTTTAAAAAGTAAAGTTCAGAGCCTTAACCAACCTAATGACTAAGCAATGTGTGCCATGTCATTCAGCCTTTGTATTGCTGTATTGAAAAGATTCTCAGTGGGCTACAAAACTTCCGAGTGTTCAGTATATTTATAATGTGTATGAATCAGGTATGTACATTTTTAATTTTCACATGTTTGTTGGGGGGATTACCTTTTAGCCAGTCAGTGAACTGTAAGAAAAATTACTTTCCTACCTTAGTGATTTGTAACTCTGGTAGTTCATCATGACCACCCATTGAAATATTTAAACAAGAGGTCCAAGCCTCCCCCTTGTGATTCTGCTTCAGCTGATTGAGGGTGGGATCTAGGAATCTGCGTTTTTGAAAGCACCGTATGTGACTCTGACCCTGCCCTAGTCTTGTGGAGAGGAAGAGTATCCCTTCCCCTTGCCAGCAGGCAGCTGTGGTAACATTGGCTCCTTTTGTTATCCAGAGTCCTGAAAAACTCATGTGTCAACTTGGTGTTATCTGCATAAATAACTTCAAATATCCCAAGCTTTGTCATAACTTGATTTTGTTTTGGCCTTTCTGGACATTAATCATTTTAAATAGTGAGTTTTTAACGTATCGAGAAGCTTTAAGTTTCTTGTTTGTCTTCCTTTCCCTCACACTATAGTGATGGTGCTAATCAAGCTTTAGCAAGTTGCCAAAGGGACTTTCGTAATAAACCCTATCCTGTCCGGGCAAAGATTACGTATTACCAGAAAACATTGACAGTAAGTAACATGCATTTAGAGATAATCAAATGAACAATATTCTAGTATGACTTCTCATTCTGAATCTTTGATAGAAATTCAATGCATTTTAAATTTGGATATTGTTCGCATACTCATCAGTGTTACTCTGAGAGAGCAGAAGTGGCTTCAGAGCTCGGTGTAAGTGGTCATGTGTTGTCAAATTTGCCGTAGGTTTGTGTTTAGTCGGTGAATGTTTAGGCATTCTACTGTGTGCCACACAAATATGAATAAGACAAAGGTCATTTTCTCCAAAGAGCTTGTCTAATGGAGGTGACATTATGTAACATTATGCTTATGTAATGTTAGTATGCTATGTGGTAAATTTAAGGGATCAGGAGGTTAGAATCCTGTAACTCTGCCACGCTGGAGAGTTGAAAGTCAGGAACAGTTTCTCAGAGTTGAGCTGCACCTTGAAGGAGAAGTAGAAGTTTCCTAGATGGAGTGCATATTCCAGGCAGAGAAAACAGGCATCGGGACTGTTGAAAGATTTGGGAAAGGCAAATAGTTGGTATGGCTGGAGGACAGAGATTTGGAGAGTGAGGTTGAAAGGTTGGCAGTAACAAGTCTCGCAGCCCTCTGTGTAGTTTATCCTGTAAGGAACAGTTTACAGAGTTTTAAGCAGGAAT